GTATAACTAGATGTTAGTGTGGATGATGGACCCCTCCTGCAATGGCCCCACTGCCTCCTCCCATAATTACTGCACCATCAACTTCATCACAGCCTTCAGGTCCCTTGTACATGGACCAGAATTATGAACCCCCTCCCTATAAATCAATTTCCTTTGGTTCTGGTACATGCCAACTTACATCTATACATAGAAATGGAAATGCTGCAAAAACTGAGGGTGCTGCTCCAAAGCTGGGACATGCAAGAGAGAAAAAGCTAGTATTGCATGTTGTTCTGGTGATCCACTACCCAACACCTTCTGTTGCCTCTTCCACATGACTTCTGGCACCCTCAGAGCTCGCCAAAGGCTTTTCAGGATCCCTCTGTCACCATTAAACCATTAAACCATGAAGGCACAACATCTCTCCAACTCCAAGCATCTTCTCCTTTTGCCCAAACACCAAACGTTAAGGTAAAGACTTTTTTTTTTTTGCCAATAAGACAAGTATTGTGTCAGACATATGTAATGTTTTGTATTCCAAAAAAATGGTATAGTTTAAACTAGCATTTGCAATCCACAATGTTTACTAAAGTAACATGAAGTCACCTGACAGTGTCAAATAAATTGTCAGCACAAATGATACGTTTTACTTAACGATGCTGCATTTCTGTAATTAATGAGAACATATCTAATGAATGAACGAGAGCATATATTTATAGTCATTTTGTCTGAGTATAAGGTGATGCTATGAAGTCTTATCCAGATATCTTGCACTTAATCCCATACTTAGTCTCCAATATGTGATGTGCCACTGTGAAAGATAGTTGTTTCCTTATGTTTATCTAATATATCTATCAGCCATAACCCACTCAATTTAATTAGCATCACATCAGCGGCCTCTTTCTCAACCTGGGACACAATCTATTTTGTAATGAATGATGCTTATTTATGTTATGTTTGATGCATTGTTTAATGCTATTCTGAATTTAATGACAATTTTTTTGTAAATGCTCTTTTATCGTAAGGTGCGTTATGTTTGAGTGCACAACTGATGATTGGTTGACTTTAGATTAAGTAATATTACTTGACAATCTGCTTAATTTACACATTTAGATTCATTTATATGAACTTTCAAAACGTATTTGCCCATGATGGCTGATGTACATGTCTTAGGACATGCATAATATTTGTATTGAAGTGTCAGGTAAATATCTATGTGATATCCCTCTTAGTCCTATTTGTTATTTTAATTGGTGAGGTGAATTTTTATGGCAAGTTTTCATTTGCATTCCTCATATAAGGAAAAAAAAAATTTTAAACTCATATGACTGGCCTTATTTTAATTGCTATTTGACATGATTTGATATGCACTTTAGAGCTTTTTTTGTCATAAAGTGAACATGTATTTTGTTTTCTTATAAGATGTACTTGGGACATTTCTATTATAAACTTTATTTTTTATGTTTCCACCATGCAGAGTCAGGTTTTAAGCTCTAAGAGCAATGTGGTATTAGCAATGTGCCTGGAACCCATTAAATTCCTTCTTTTGTACATGTGTTCTAACACTGGGAGATATGAAATTAAAATTGGTGGGCAGGCCTTCAGTAGGGCATTGTCAGTAATCTCACTAAAGAGGTGTGGCAGTCTGGTGTCAGGCACATCAGGCTAACAAACAGCCTCCTGACAACAAAGCTCCATCATATAAGACCATAAGGAGAGTAGTGCTGAAGTGATCTCTGCATGGTCATAGTGTCCACCACACATCATTATGGCATCAAACGATGTGCTTGTGGTTTTCTCCCTGGGGACAGTTTTTTGGTATCCCTGGATGCCCGACACCAGGGAACAACATCAGGACATTGGGAGAGGAACATAGCATGACTGTCTGTCTGAAAGCAGGATAGTTGGGAGACCTTCTTTTAAGTCACTAAGAGCCATTAACAGTAATGTCAGCCAGTAATTCAAAGTCATTGGTAAGATATTACTGTTGGGTTACATATTCTACTTGCTTTGGTTTAGTGCTTAGTGCCAGGCCAGTAAAATTTGGTGAGAACACTAAGAAGGAGCCCTTACTTATTTCTGCGTGGGAATCCCTCCCTGAATATTGATGTATCCTTCAGTATCTTTAGTGAGTTTCAGAATGAACGTAACCAAATTATTTCTCCATGATGAGACATTACTAGGATTAATGTTAAAGATACACCTGGATATTCAATCAAACAAGTAATAGTGTCACTGGGGGTTTGATGGGGGTTGAAATAGTTCATATATAGCTTAAGAAAAAGATAACAATTGAATTGTTTAGATGACAGCAAGAGGTGTACTTTCAGTATAACAGATGGCTTTCTTTACTATGTACATTCTTTTCCTACTGTATGTTATTTTTATCTGTACTATGCATTACTATCAAATACTTGCTTTTTATTCTTTCCTCACTCACATTGCACTCATGTTACGTACAATCCTTTCAGTTTTAAATCTTGCATTATTTTTGTTCAGATATGGTAAGCTGTAAACTATATTGGGTTTATATATCTTTTCAATTCCTGTTCACTCTGTAATATTTCATTATCTTGTGTAATGTACGGTTGTATTTGTAGTAGTGGTTGTCATTCACAAGCATGTGATTTTATGGATTAAGTTGGTTGTGCTGGTTAAGACAGTAGACCAAAAAACAAGGGTGTGGAAATACACTCAAACCCCATACAAAATGTATCTGGGTGCAGCCAGGCCAGTTCCACTACCAGGAACCAAACACTTGAATACGTAGAAAATAGAAAACGGTCCAGGCACTCCAGGATACAACTGGTGAGTGGCAGTGGGTTTTAATAAATTTGCCTTTTTGTAACCTGGAGTGCCTGGACCGTTTTCTATTTTCTACCTGGTTAAGACAGTAGAAGCATATGAGGATCACTCAGACATCTGGAACTCTCTGCAAACCTTGTGGAAAAGTGTTTGTGTACAAAACAATGTACCTGTTTAGAAGCAAACAAGGCAAATAGAGAAAGAGAGCAAGAAAGATACATTATAATGTAACCCGTTTATAAAAATACTATATTTAAAAGTAGTATACACAATTGGCCAAACCTGGCACTTTCTAGAGAGAATGCGATCTTCTCATAGACTGCAGCATTATTACTATTAATCTGTAGTACAAATTTGAAGTAGCTTATTGTGGTACTAACTTGGATATTGGATTATCCCTGTAATAAGAACATTAGGAACTACAATATACAGATTATATTACCTTTAACATTTACTAATATATCAAAGCTGTCATATATTTGCAATGAGAATATGTTCTTTCTAGAGATTGTGGAGCATTGTTGTACTTTGCAGCAAGAGGTAAAGGCATAATTTAATAAAACATAATTCACAAGCAAAATCAGTATTTGCTTTCAAAATATTTGACCTGCTTCAAAGTCATAGTAGGTCACTCATTTTCCAGTTTCAAGCTAATCATCAGTTAGCAATTTGTAGAATAATATTTGTTATTTAGGTAAAGCTATCTTCATCCAGAAATAATGCCAAATCTTAAAATTACATTGCAGGGAATGGAAACAATTTGATCTTATCCAGTTGCACTGTTACTCTCATTGTATTACAACATAATGGACATATTGAAATTTCTGGGAACTAAGATGCAAAACAATTTGTGAGCCTGAGCATGTGATGCAATCAGGCCTTCTAAATATAAACATGCATAGAAAACTGAGAGGGAAAGGAATTGGAATTAAAATAAAATAATAGATGTTCTTGACATTAAGAGATGGTGGGTCGTTAAACATAAGCACATATTATATTCAAACAAAACTGCAGTTCATGTGATGGTGAAGATTACTAATCAGTGGATCTATGTAATTTTGTACTACAACTCCCATTAGCTGTGCCTAAAGACATAATATAATCCAACAAGCTATATAATTCAATAGGACGACACCTTCTAGGTGAACTTGGCTGTTGTTGGGGTATCATTTGAGAAACCCCAACATGAAGTTCTATAGCATTTTTTAATGTTATAATTTAAATATTGCAATAGTCTTATCCATGAACATTACTATGTATTGATGAATTGTGTGAATAAGGTCTCACATTCTTTGTTAATACTCGTATTACATGCACTTGGTGAAACTTTTAAAAGCAGGTCCCGAGGATAGACAAATATATGTTTGAAGTACAGCCAAATTCTTGATGACTTAGGGCACCTTTTCTATATTTTGTGTTGTTGAAAGCTTATGTTGTTCATCTTCTATTTTTAAATACTGCGGCTCAGAGAAATAAATACATGAGCCACATCTTTGTTGATAATTTAATTTTAGCACATATCTGCTGTGTATTTTGATCAAGACAGATAACATATAAGACACGGCAAACCAAATGTTTCAGTTACTAATGTTTGCTTTTTGTGAGATCAGATAATAGTCAAAGAGATCCTAAACTATAAAAATTCCCTAATATTAATAGTTTTATAAGATAAAAGACATATCCATTAGACATATTCATATTTATATAAAGATTATTGAGCCTGGATTTAGTATTGATACACATGCTGTGTTTCAGAAGAAACAGAATATGGAGAGACAGGAGAAAATAGCGTGATGAAATTAAAAAAATCCAAACAAAAATTGTCCAGTACGTGAATGCACTCCGAATTTATTAAGGTCCTCACAATCAAAAAAACAGTGTTTCTACTTAGTCAGAGGTATTTCACAAGTTGATAAAATCAAAAGCATTGTGACTGGATGCTCAATATATTACAATATAGTTAGAATGTAAACACTAATCAGAAACTCAATAAACAAGAAAATAATATCAACAAAAATCACTGCTCATGAAGACTTTATATATTTACCTTAAAGGAAAATCAAAGCGATAGCCTGGTCTAGTGGTTTTCTACAGTCTGTGGGTAGAGATGTCGCGAACCATCCGCGAACTTCTCGCGAACGGTTCGCCGCGGTTCACTGCGGTTCGCCACGAGCTGTTCGCGGCGAACTCCGGTCAGCTGACACGTCCCGGCCAATCTCCAGCAGACCCTCCCTCCCAGACCCTCCTACTTCCTGGACAGCATCCATGTTTCAACAATGGATGCTGTCCAGGAAGTAGGAGGGTCTGGGAGGGAGGGTCTGCTGGAGATTGGCCGGAACGTGTCAGCTGACCGGAGTTCGCCACGAACAGCTCGTGGCGAACCGTGGCGAACCGTTCGCGAGAAGTTCACGAACGGTTCGCGACATCTCTATCTGTGGGCTCCTTCCCTCGGTTTTCTATCAAACCATTTAGAAGTGGACTGGCAAAGAAACTGGGCTCTCCATGGTACCTGGAGATCATCCCCTCCTCAATCACATTGAATTTAAAATGCCAAATTTCAATATCTATGTTATAACTGTTAATTTCATCCAATTCGGTTGAAACAGTGATTGGCTGACAGTGCTGTGGGTGGGTTAGATCAGACCACACAGTCTATCAATATTGTCCAGGCTGGATAACATTGATATTGATAAAGCAGAAGCTTTAATTCCACATTATTAATGTGGCTAAGGGTGCTGGGTAGTGATGTCCTGAACTGTTCGCCGAACTGTTCGCGAACAGTTCGCCACGGTTCGCCACTAACGGTTCACCGCGAACTCCAGTCAGCAGACACATTCCAGTCAATCTGCAGCAGACCCTCTCTCCCAGACCCTCCCAACTCCTGGACAGCATCCATTTTGAAGCTGCATTCTTAGTGAGCTGTCCAGGAGGTGGGAGAGTCTGGGAGGGAGGGTCTGCTGCTGATTGGCTGGAATGTGTCTGCTGACTGGAGTCCACGGTGAACCGTTCGCGGCAAACCGTTCGGCGAACAGTTCGGTACATCACTAGTGCTGGGGAATACCTCTAGATTTGTCCAATTTCTTCTAACTGGTTTCACATAGAAATGGTGGATAACCCCTAGAAACTCAGCCCATAGAGAACACAAAGACTATACAGCAAGCTTTAGACGTTACGTACCTTTGACTGTTTATTAAATGTGCTCACTTACTCTAGAAATGAAACTCATCGGTCAGGTGAATATATGGGGATTCCTATTTTCTCCACTGGATCATATCCACATATTAACCTAATTTTTCTGCAAAAGTCAATATGAAACTTTAGGAAGCGCATTTGTTCCTCTATTAACTAATGTTAATGTGGTAAATATTTCTGCAATACATTTTCTTTTTGAGTTTCCAAATATAACATATATAGTCATTCTCAACACAATTGAAAAATGCTTGGCACACAGCAATACAAAATGACCTACTTTCCCACTTTTTTTCTCTTGGGTGAGATACTTTGTCTGCTAGACGAGGGAGTTGGCATTCACTATGTGTGTTTTGTCAAGGATGCTCTGTCCAGACAAAAACAGTCAGCTAACCTCAACTTAATCTTTATTAAATGAATCGACATGTCTCACACTATTTATCTATTCAAGCTAGATGATTTAGAAAAAAAATGCAGACTACTCCAAATACACAGGTCTCTAGACCCATATATTATATTATCAGCGTATATGTATTTCAGAAATACAATATTACCTTTTGGATAGTCTTCTGTCACCTTGAAATATTAGTCCAATTTAATTTAAATGTGTTTGTGCAGTTCTGCATAAAATACACTTAGAATTTTGGATTTATTTAAATCCCAATTTAAGCTTTATTTAAAATGAGAGAAATAACTTGACATTTATATGTATGTCCACTCAGCTCAGTTTTTGATTCAGCCCTTTTTAGAATGAAAAGAAAATTTCCTAATGTATTGGCAATAAATATAACTATAAAAATCTAAAATTCATTTCATTTTCATGTCCAATTCTATTTTTCCTTGAATAATTAAATGTATTAAGGGTAAATGAGACTTAGATATGATTTGCAGATTCTAAAATTACTCCTAGCCCAGCGTGATACTTTAAATGTGCATCACAAGTGATTTTTCAAAACCTAAACATTATTTTTTTAACAAGTTCACATCAAAGAATAAAGCAAGCCAAGTCTCAAAAGCTCATTTATTTTACTTAGTATATGTTTTATTTTATCTATTTTTATAACAAGTTTCTACATTCTCCCACTCACTGCAAAAGTAATTATACAGCAAACAACAATCTAATGATTGAGTCCCTAAACCATACTTGTTTTTTTCCCAGTGGAAAATTTCTTATGAAGCAAAAAGTGGCTGTGGGAATGCAAAGGAGGAAAAACATACACTATAAAATATAATTAAAAATTGTGGAGGCTGCATATGACAAGAATAACCATAAAAAGCAGACACAAACCAGCTGGCTGTTAACAACTTTTGAGTTATAAAAATATTAAACCTGCTGTAAAGCATTATGTTCAATTTAAATAACCACAAAGCAGGCATTAGCCTTCTTTGCTGAGGTTTTTGGAAACATTTTATAGCAACATAAAGTTTTTTGAAAAGATAGATGAGGGATTTAGGGCATAAACCAATTTCCCAATTTTCATTACAATTCACTAGTTTAGCATTCAGTGAATGTGCAATACTGCTTTTTAGCCACGCTGTCTTCCTGTTTAGTTGTACTGCAGCTTTGTTGATTTCATTGAGCTTTCTATGTGTAATAATGCTCGGTTAGATTGTACCGTAGGAACTGTATCCAGAAGAATCCCAGCCAAAACTACGTGAATTGTGAAACCACGCTGAATTACAATACAGACAGTGTTATTCACTAAAGAATGACTTGTCTTGAATCCAAAGTAAAATCTAAGTAAATTAGATTTTTGTTGGCCAAAAGTGATACTCGTAGACAGTTATTCCAACCCTTATAACTTTATAAGACTTTGATTGACTGTTTTAACAGGCACAGAGGGAAGGTGGAGAGTGTGCATGGATTCTGTGAAACAGGGAGAAAGCCTAGAAGTTGAGTGCAGGGCATATCGATGTGAGAGGCCTGCAGGGAGGTGAGCGTGCGCTGACAAAAAACTTAAAATATTCACAGAATTGACATTTGGCAGTTCAGGACACAGTCGTGTGTGCCTGGAGTGTTACTATCCCCCTACACAAAGTGCAAATTAATCTGGCTGTGCAGTGCCAGATTCCTTCTACCATGACAACTTCAAAAAGAAGAAGTAGTCATGGATGTTGGAGTTTCCCTTTAAACATTGCAGACATGGGTAGTTTTTTAATAATTAGTTTGAATTCTCAATAATGTATAAGTTATTAAATAATTGTATGTTTAGATGAAGGGATGGCCATAATGCCTTGTCCTAAAGGAAAGGTTTGACACAATTAACAGTTTCTGTCTTGTCTGTGGTGGTGAAGCGGAACACTTTGTTTCTCCATAGTTTTCTAAGAAATTTTCATAAAAAAACATTTTCTTATCTATCAGTCAATGGACTGCAAAAGTTAATAAAAGCAAGAATTATATATGATATATATATATTTATATATATATATATATATATATATATGTATATGAAAATCATCTGCTCAGAAGTATACCGAAGTTAGCATTCAGGGTGAATTTAATATTTTAACTTATAATATTTATATTTTAACTTAATATATTATATATTTCATTAGATGTGTTTATATATATATATATATATATATATATATATATACACACATATATATATATATACATATCTCATGATCATGATTTAACATTGTTTGCCTTTTTATAGACTAGTGGAGCTATTGTAGAGATATAGAAACTAGATTTAGAGCTATCGCCACTTTAGGGAGTGGGGTAAAAACTTTAGGATTACTTACTGCCTAGAATGAAAAAGCCATTCCATAGTACTAAAAGCTGTAAAACAATAGTCAATATATGTTGCATAGAGTGAACAATATATCACTCACATTCACAATGTCCAAATTGTATAAATAGTTCAATTTATTATATAATCATTCTCCTGCCTGAATACGTTGTCTCCGGATTATGTGACATAAATGTCAACATGCATAGACCCTATTTTACATTGGGAATAGGACTGTGCTTATTAGTGTTTACAATGGCATACAAGAATTCTTAGTTCTGATTTACGCAGAAACAGCTGAAATTAGTTGGTTTAAGTTGATTCAAGCTAGTACCTTCAGTTCATTATATATTCATTCTGTTCACTACAAGCTCAATATTGAGAGAATGTACTTACTCGGATTGGCTTGGAAAAAGAGACTTAATTAGAGATTGGTTGTCAAGTGGTACACTGGGCTGACATTGAGTAGACAGTTACTAGCACATATATATACGTGGGGTTAAACAGCCGTTTAGAGGATATTCCCTTCCAGATACACAGGCAGCTACTGCAAGCACCAATTTCCCGAACTGGAAACACACAAATTCTCCAGCTCCTGAGCTGGAAACACACGAATTCTCCAACTCACGTACTGGAACCATACGAATGCTGTAAACAGCCGAACAGGAAAAAACATACGAACAGTTTACACTCCTGGCAGTTGAACTGTAACAGCATATAATCAAATCCCCCCCAAGAACGAGACGACACTTCGTTTTGAGGGTCAAGCAGTGATCTGTTTAATCTGGGCTAGCTGCCCGATATTTATGCAGGTCTTCCACCAGGTGGACACTCCCCTAGGGGACCTGGTGGAAGACTGGGACACAAACTGGACAGTAATCAGGACAGTTTAACCTTAACCACTACCACATGCACATTGTAGTCCCTCCTCTCTATTCTGGAGATAATTGGGAAGTAATCCAATTATTTCCAAGGACAGAGGCAAAACTCCATTAGCCACATGTTAGTAAAAAGACATAAAATTACAGAGTTACAATTACTACATAAAACATATACATTCAACATATCCCCAGATAGCTTAGATCTGAGTGCACATTATTACCGAATGGCGCTCAGATCACATACATACAGTTCAATCGCCATGGAGCCAAAGTCTGTCACATAGATCGCCATGGCATAGCTATCTGGGGTAACACTGCTCACATAGGGAAAGTACTGAACGGACGGCATTCATATGAATTGCAGGAGAAGGGAGGTCGGTGGCTCAGCGGTGTTCGTGCAAACATGTGTCCATTTTGAGTTCCATAGATTTGTTGCTGAACACCGCTGGACGTTCGGGAGTTTAAGATGGCCGCTGCCACGTGTTCGGTTATACGAACAGCGGCAACCCAGCGTTCACCAATTAAGCTGCAGTTAACCGCAGCTTCTGGGAGGTAAATCACTGGCACACTCCTTGCCCAGGTGGTCCCCCCATTCATGCGTTGGTTCGGTAGATTCAATCTACCGAATGCTCAGGCAGAAAGGCACAAACATGCATTTCTAAAAGGGAAAAGAACAGCGTTTAACGTGGGGCCATAGTCCAGAGGGAGCAGGCAAGCAACCAGGCTTCTACAGTGCCCAGTGGCGAGGTTGGTTCCGCCACAGGGATTATGTGCATACAGTGAGGTTCCTTGTTGGTTTGTGTGTGTAGATGGAGCTGTTTGCAGTGTCATATGTGAGTGGAGAGGGCTGGTTGTGTTGCAGAGTGTGTGTGGATAGGTGCTGTTGTGTGTGTGGCATAGGGGCTATTGTAGGCATCTGGGGGATACTGGGGCTGTAGTGTGTGTTTGTATGGATACTAGAGGCTCTATTGTGTGGGGGAGATACAGAGGCTGCAGTATTTATGTGGATGGTGGCTGCAGTGCATGAGGGGGGATATGGGCTGTAGTAGGTGCAGGGCTCAAAAGGACGGTGGGGGAACAGCAGATGCAGTGGGAGCAGTGAGGAATATGGGCTGTAGTGAGTGTAGGGAGGGATAGGGATGAGAGTGATGAGGGCTGTATTGGGTGCACGAAGGCAT